AAAGACTAGATGGAAGGGGAATATTGCTACCAATAAAAGAATTTTGCTACATCATTGSTACTGGGATTTGGTGCCAAACCTATTTTCTCATGCAATGAATTTCAGATGATAAGGCATATCATATAGTTGACTTTGTAGTTGGTCATGGCTCTTGTGTATAATGCTGTTTCAGATTAGTCTTAGTCTGTTTATATGCTTACTGGTGGTACTTGGGAGTTGTGATGGTACAGTTATTCTGCAATTTGATAATAGGATGCTTTTAATATTGTAGTCCAGTAACTAGAATTTTATTAATTCTTAAGGCACAACAGCAAGGCCTAAACCTGCTTTCTCATGGATGAATGTGTAGTAGATGACTATTCCCACTTGTTAACTTCCAAGTTAACATGAGGATGATCCCTACTGGTGCATATTGATTGAAAGGAATAATTCTGGTACAGTTTTCTGCATCCTGCTGTTTTCTGCTTTTGCAGCGCTGGCAAGGACAAAAGAGAATCTTAATAGTCAGTAGGTGTGTTGCTMATGCCAGGTTTTTATTTGTGCATGTAGCATGTCAGGAAAAAGCTGCTTTGTTCTGGTCAGCAACAATTTTTTGTGKTTGGAGGACAAGGCCCAGTTTAGGCAACTGGTGGCATTCTGACTTTAGTTGTTCCTGTGATATCGCTATGCAAACTTCTGGAGACAGCCTGTTCCAAACACCAGTGTGCTCTGCTCACTCATTTTCCATGCAGGCGAATGCTTTTAACTAGGACAAAAGGAGTACATTTCTTAAGTTGTCAGGTTTTAAGAAAAAGATTGCAATGCAGGAGTTGATAACTAAGTTATCTGCAAGTTCTTTTGTACTGCTCTATCCTCTCATACAGTGGAGAATGGGACCTAGGAAGAGGAGATGGCTGTTGACTTTCCATAAACTATTATGACTTTTAGCTTTTTTTTTTAATTATTTCTGTTTTCTCTAGTGCTAAAGCAACCCATAGGACATGGAAAATACATAGAAGCCTGAAGCTTCTCCTTGGCTCTGTTTTTTAAAATTTATGAACAATTTGCTCACTAAATGTTTCTGCAGCACATCTCTTAATTCTGCTGTATTTTTATTGTTGAGATTAACATACAGTATTGGCATTGGAAAAATGCCTTGGATTAGTCTGTGAATGAGAGATCCCTTGTACAYCTATGCTTCTGAGGATGCTATTTCCAGTAAGTGGTGGTGGTGGAGGGGTCACCAGTTTAACTGTCTAGAATTGAATTTCTTCTATCAGTTGTGTTCCCTTCCTCACTTGTATGTGGTGCTTTCCCACCCTATTCTGTATTTCCTGTAAGATTTTTGAAGAATTGGAGTTGAGAGAGTGCCTGTGTGCAAGGATATCAAACTTGCAAAACACAAGGATTTGTTACGTTGAAACAATTTCAATAGCTCTGAACTGAAACAATATGCCAGCAGTTCAGGTTGTTGTTTACTATTGGCACATTCTGCATCATGATTCCTTATGTATGCTAACTCTTTAATGTATTCTTAATGAAGCACTTAATTTGATCAGTCTCCTTCACCTTTCTCTATTGAATATTTAGTAACCAAGAGAAAAATGCATCAATATTCTCACTTGTCAGAAGAAATTATTTAAAATCAGGGTAAGAAAAATTTGAAGTTGGAAATGGGGTGAATATTTTCAAATGAGAACTAATCTGTTCCCATAGCTTATTATAAGGTTTTGTTAATCATAGGGCATGAAGAAGTCTTAAAGCAGAATWTTTTTAGAGATAGTCTGGCTCAATAGCAGATCACTTCAACACTGAGCTCAAGTATGTGGGTGGAATTAGCCAGTGTTATGTATGAGGCCAGACTTGATGCTTAAGGTGACTGSACTTTGCTCTCCTGTTCACAGATTGCTGTCAAGTACTGACTGCTTTGCTGCTCAAATTTCAGGGGAATATCTGCAACTTCTGCAAATTTTCTCTTCAGATGTGCTGGAGTTSAAAAACTTTCTGGCTAAAATGGGCATTTAACTCTCCTGAGAAATAGAGAAATCTCAAATCCTATACACAGTGGGTTTTGTTCCTGTTCTTTGAGATTGAAACTGTGGGCATTTTTCCTTCCTTTCACAAATAGTTACCAAATGCCTAAACCAGTATTTTATAGAGTTTGTTTCCTTTGTTCCTAAATAACAAAAAAAAAAAAAGTAATGACTACTTGAATAAACGTTTAGATGTAGATTCAAAGATGTTCCTATTGTTCTAATCATTGTCCTTTTTGCTTATCAGTGCTTGATAGAGCATATCTAAGCTTGGAGTAGGGTGGTGACAAGTGGATTTGGGTGAGAGATCTTGAGATTGCTGAAACTTCCTGATGCCTTCAAGCAACCACTTATGCCTCAAACATTTTATAAAGGGATCTCCAACTTTGGAGAATTAATTAGGCCTCCAAGGCAAATCTTGTGTGGTATAACTAAAAAGGGTACCTGATGAAAGAGCATGTTGTCGTTTTAATTTCCTAAAATTAAAAGCATAATAGGAAGAGCTGAATCAAGCTTGTGCCTAGGTTCTTAGCAAAGAACTCTTGCTTAGAGATAAATGGTATGTGGGGGGTTGGTATGTTCACAGAGCAGAGAAATATCAGTGATGATTTGTCCTGTGGTGTGTGCCAGRGTGCACCTAGCAGGATTCCTTGAAGCTGTTGAAAACAGGCTAAATGTGGTATAAGCACTTCAGTTCTTTCAGTCTGTTCACMATCATTCACAGGAGCTGCAGAGGTGAAGTGGTTTGGGGGTTGGTTGGACAATAGTTCCATTTGGGTTTCATGTCATTTTACTCTTGGCCCTGGGAGGGTATGGCRTGCATTAGGAAACAGTGTTCTTTGATGTTTTTGTCCTGGTGACTTAAGAAGTAAAGGATGGAAATGGGCATTTGTTTTGAAAAAGATGGAGAAGGTAAAGGAGTTGGGCAAGGAAGCAAATGCTGCTGAAGAAGTGGAGACCACTTGTCTGAAGTGACAAATCTTTTTAAATGTCCTGGCCTTGGAGCAGCTGCTCCAACCTTTTCCARAAACTGCTGTTGCCTGCCAGAAGCTGCAAGTTTAAAGTGAGAGTTTCCATGTTCCCTCTCCAGTGCAAGGCTGCAGAGATTAGAACCAATTGAAGAACTGTGGCTTGTAGTTATGGCCCCATTTATCTATYCTTTTGATGCCTGAAAAACTTATTGGTTTGATTGTTGGCCCACTTATTGCTGCTGTAACCATGGTTACTGGGCAGACAAGCTGTACTCTGAGCTTTCATTATTTCATGTGCCATGGTAGAACCTGACACTGGATAGGAATCCTGAAATCTTAGGGAGTTATGGGACAGAAAAGTTTCATGGCAGTAGTGGACTTTGGTGTTTTATCAGTGGTGCTGCTAAGAAGGATCCAGCAGTTAAATAATTCACTGTGATCTAACAATTTAGTTTTGTTGGTTCTATTTTCCTTTAGTTTGCAACATGGAGTTAATGATTGGGATGTAGATTTATTTTTCACCCTCTATCTCAAAACATGCATCAAGATCAGATAGTATAAGCAATAAGCAAACCTTTCAACTTTTATTAAATATCCTTGGCTTTTGGGGAATTGGCTTGCTTTTTATGTTGTGTTTGAAGAAMAGTAAACATTCTATCAGTTACTTCAGTTTGACTTGTTAAAACATTCAGGGGTAATTGAGTCCAGGGTGTCTAGATGGGCAAACAAGTTTCAAGTAATCAGATTTTTAGCTTAGCCTACTGTGGAGTTGCATAGAGATGATAGATGAGCTGAACTTTGATTTATTTGGTATGGATTTCTTTTCTGTTCTTTGTAGCTTGTACAATTGTTTTGTCCTGGAAACTATTGCTGATTATGTCTGCAGGCTACATTTACTGATTTCCAATGTATATTCRTTTTGGGAGCAGGAGGCAAAACAAAATTGCTGTGGGAATACCTATTTAATAAAGTCATGATGGGGAAGAATGTGTCTGTGCTGAAGCATTTRTTTGTAAGCTGTGCCTCCATAATGTGGCTGTGCCAGGTGATTTCTCTGGTAGAGTGACTCTAAATCTTGGTTGACATAATGCATGACCATAGTGGCTTAGTTCTGAGTTTTGTAAAGCAGAAATGGTGCTATGATAGTCTTTCTGATTTTGTTTCGTTCTGCTAAGTGCAGCTTTAGGAGCATCTTCCACTAATTCACTGCATCAATTGCAAAATAATATAAATGGGCAAAACTTGTGACTTGTTTTTGATACATTAGTTTGAAGAAGCAAAAACAATTCATTAAAAGTATGTTGTGGGTAACAAAACTCCACAAAATTTTATAGCAAACTTGAGGGTTCTGAACTCAGCATATTCTGATTGAAGAAACACCTTTATGGACAAATCATCACCTTGCTTTTAAAGGTAGTTGTGCCAGACGAACTTCAATTATTTCCATGTGAATTTTTGTGTTTTATTCTGAGAGATCTTTTCCATAGCATCTTGAAGATTTCAGCTGGGGCCTTGCTTTGATTGAGATGTTTGAAAATGATGTTTGTGTATGGGGAGAGTGGATAGATYAATCTTCAATGTGTTGTTTCCCAGTACCACAGCTTAACATTTTTTTTTGTTTGTCAGCGCTGTGCTTTCTTTTTGGGATTGCTATTTGCATGTTAAGYAATTTTAAAAGTAATTATGTGGGTAAAGACTTGTGTGGATTGTGATACAGTAGGTGACCAAGAGTAGCAATAATAAAAATACTCTCATTACATCCATAGTAGATAACTGTTTTTACTCAGATGTGAAAATTGATTTTAAAGCAAATGGTTTGGATAACCATGCGCTGAGAAATATCTTTGGGGAGATGAGGATGGGGAGAAGAGAAGATGCATGAAAAATTGTTCAAATGATATTTAAAGAAAAATTAATCCAGGCTGCCAGGAAAAACTTTTCAGCCTTTAAAAACAGGCTGAAGTAACTTGATTGGAAAATCCTCACTGATTATTTTTTTTSTCTCTTAATCTTGCAGCTGATTGTAATGCCGTTCTTAAAGCTCTACAGCCCATTTTTCAGGAGCAGGGAATGACAGAAACAGTTCATAACTGGGAAGACCATGGTTATTTAGTAACCTACATCAAAAAAAATGGCAGGTGAGTGGATTTTCTTCCTCTAGATTATGTTCCCACTGTTCTTCCTTAAAACATTTATTTMTYCCTGTATCTCCTGTGCTGTTGAAARGGCAAGCTATCCTTTTATCAGCCTTGTGTRTGAAGTAGCTGTGATAAAGCAGAATACTGTTTATAATCTGAACTATGTCATCTTGCAGTTTGGATACCAGAAGGTTGAACTGGTCAGTCTGGTCTGTACCATAGAATGGTGCTTTGGTCTCACTGTCCTTCCAGATGCAGGACAGCTCAAGTCAGTTCAATGTATTTTTAATTTCTYTGAGCATTAAAWATGTCTAAACATGTTGGAGTCTAAYCTTAGCATGTGAACAWTGACAGCTTTGTGTCTCTGTCTGTATTGGAGCACTGTTTTATGCTTCAAATGCTCAAAGAGCAGCTTCTGAAGTAATTAAAAACATGATAAGGGTGGYTGGTGTCATTAGTGACACAAAAGCTGAGTCTGCTGGGACAAACTGATAAACAAAACTACATTCACTTMATTTCCTGATGCTGCTTTACAGTGTCAGGGTTTGTTGATTATAGTATACATTAATCTGGTCTATTTATAAGTAACTACCATGATTTTATKGCACTTAATTTCTTTACAGCTATTCAATTACCTGTTCTTGACATCATTGTGGCAGATGCTGCTTTTGGGGTTGCTTGTTTTGTGGTTTTTGCTAGTTGGATTTGTTTGGTAGGTTTTTTTTTTGTTTGTTTGATTGGGATTTTTTTGTGGGGAATTTCTTGGGACCCAAACTAAGGTAACAAGCAAGTGGATATGAGTAATTCTATGCTCATCATTCTCAACTGTGCTCCATGAAGTTTGTAGTATATTTTCAGTTATCTTCTTGAATGTGGTGCTGGTCCTTTCTGCTCAAAATTATTTGTTTTTTATACTTGATCTGCCTAGAAAATCCTGTTACTTGTATCTTGCTTTTGTACAGCCTTGTTTATTCTGTCTTTAGTTACATGTGCTTTTGTATTTCTGAATAATTTCATCAAGATTCCAGTTCTGGTAGCCTTTTGTCTTTGAGGTCAGTGAAAAGATAGCAAAGTTGTTAACTTACTACTCTGGTTCTAGCCTTCCTCCCTACTGAGTTAAACTTTTATGTAATTCTCCTAAAAGGATAATATCAAAGTTCTACAAATTGTGAAGAATTCAAAGATATTACACCTAAAAGTAAAAAGTTGGAAGATGAAAAGGTTTATTTTATTACATGGCCTCACGTTACTCTCCTGCATTTCCTTGGGTTTGAGAGCAACATAAGATGTGAATTCTCAAATTGAGTTTTCTCTKTGCAAACTCATCTGATTATTCCTCTTAAGATGACAGCCTCTTCTAARGGAGCAGTTTCAGAGTTAAATTGCCTGTCTTTTGATCTATTCAAGGAACTTCCTAGAAGACAATCTTTGGTTGCTTAATTTTTCCAGGAGATAAGTAAACTGGAAGCATATCTGAGGAAGTGTAACAAGAGCAATCTAGTCGGATATTTTAAAATATAGATTTTTTTTTAAAGAACTTAGCAGCTGTAAATACTTGTTGATGCAAGTTTCATTGTCTTTCTCAAGTGCTGGAGTATAATACTAGTGAATGCTAGTGTGAAGGGAAAATATGGTGTAAAAGATGATTTCTCTGTGTAGGAGATGTGGGGAGGAATTCCTGTGAAACCTGTGCACTGGATGGGTATCCTGTTGCTTCAGGTATAGGCTTGACCATTCATATATTGGAAAACTCTAATAAAATACACCTCTGCTCAGTTTTTTTAGATGTTTTTCATCTATGAGCAGCTGTTCTATCCTCACATAGCATCCTATTCTCCCCATTACCCTCCCACACCATGCTGTTTTCTGAAAGCTGTGTGTCATAGATGAGCTTCAGCAGTTGCTGAGTGTTGGCACAGATTTCTAAATGTATTGTTTCCTGTGTGTTTTACTGTTGGTAACCATGTGCTTTCCAGCAGCATGACACATGTAATAGTCTAGCTTTTTATTATGCAGCTAAATACAGCTTAAGTTGTATAAGGCAATAGTTCAAATATTCTTAATTCTGTGGGAAGATGGCAAAGTTGCCTACTGGCCTTCCTGCAGGGAATGAAGGGAGGGTTTGTTGTGTTAAGTTGTGGTTCTGTATATCTCCAACCACTGTTTATTGTTGAGCTTCTAGCCAGGAGAGCATACTAAATACATTAAAGATTGGCAGTTTGTAATACAGCTGCAAAACTGAAGATTGGAGAATAAGAGTGTGTGGAAGAGCTGAACGTGAAGAGGAGATTGTTGACTTTGCAAGTGCCTATTTTTTTTTAATGATGCAGTGTTAACCATTCTTTATTAATTTACATTTATTGCTCTCTTGGTATATTCATTGCTATTTGAACTCCAGTGCATACTGGATTGATCTTTCTTGAAAATTGCTCACTTTAGTTCGATGACTTGCTGTCTGGAGTTACAGTATTTTCTGTACTTTGCCAGCTCCATTAGGGAACACGTGCAGGAGAATTCTCTGTGATTTTTGGGATCTCAGCTGTTTTGTTACCTCTGGTTGTAGAAAGTCTGTATACTTTTTTAAAGGTAGCCTTATTTAGTATATTTCTGTTAGTGTAGTTTGCTTGTATTTCTGTTTGATGTGGTTTCAGTTAACTTAAACAAATGAGGTTGTAAACCCATAAAACCCAACAGACTAGACAGTTTAAAAACCTTGCAAAACAAACACATTTCACAAGTTGTAAGAATGAACTGATGAGCTTGTGGAGGATTTCATTCTAACTGAATAGGCTTTATTTTAATGCCAGCGAGTTTGACTGCACTTTTTCTTAGTGCACTAAAATATCATATATTTTTCATTAATATGAAAATATTACCTGACATGATTAAGAAGAAATTAGCTGGGGCATACAGATTTTTCCTCTCTTTTCCGTGCAAAACAGAGTGCTTCATTTCCAGCAGCATCCATTGAAAGGATGGCTGTAACTTGTCACAAGTTCCCTAAGATGAGGGATGGAGTGGGTAAGGATTTCTCTGAGCATCTGCACACAAATGCGTTGTTACCCAGCCAAAGGTGACTGTGCTATTTCAAGACAAATGTGCAGTTGATGTAACAAGCTGGATACTAATCCCTGGGAAAAATATTTGAGATATTACTATGTTGCTAAACAGTGTCTACACTCCAAAGTTTGCTGAGATAACCCAATGGCCTGCAGGGTGCCCCATGCTGCAGACTGGATTTGTGGGCAGTGCTGTTGACAAAAGTTTGTCTTTGATAAAGATATTGTGAACAGCCCCATGGAGGGCTGTGCTGGTTGAACGAATTGGAGCTGATTTGGGGATTAAGTCATGCTTTCCTGTTGTCATTACCAAAGCAACAGATCCCCATTCTTCTTTGTCTAAAGCTAAGCAAGCAAAAGTCATATGTGGMAACTCTACCTGGTCCATTTACTTTGTCATTTGTTCTGACAAAGAACCTAATTGAGGGAGGTTCAGCTGAAAACATTTATTTAATGGGGTTGTCAACACAAGGCTCTAGAGTGGGGCAGGAAATGACTCACTKGAGCCACCTAAGTTCTCCTCTGAAATGGTGGGGATGGATGCACTCCTTTCTGCTTTGCCAGCCCCCTTGCCCAAACACTTTTTGGGAAGTAGTAGCATGTGCCAAAGTGGAGCTCTGAGTTTTGGGGTCTCATTTTTCTGAGGTGTGTTTTCAGATTGCTTCCAGAATGTTTTTAGGGTTACCATATGCACCATGCTTTTACTGAAATGTCACTATCTAAGTGACATTTAATTAGACTAGACAGTTAAAAGTTGGGTTAAAAAGTTGAGTTAAAAAAAGTTAAAACAGTTTAAAAAAAACTGTTAAAATGCTTTAAAACAGTTAAAAGTTGGGTTAAAATGTCAAGTTTTTATCTCATTTAATGGATATATTACTTTGTACAGTCATAGTGCCCAGCATATTGCAAATGATTGAGAACAGTTGTTAAATCTAGGTTAAGGAAAGCTAAGATTTGGAGATTGGTATCTTCTCAACTAATACTTTATTTTAATGTCATTACTGCTTGTGAGCAAATAGTCTTATACTGCATAGAGCTGTGCTGGTTTTTTTTTTTTTTTGTGCAACTAGGAACTCTCTTTTGTCATGTTCTATCTGCAAGTTCTTCAAAACCCGTCAAAACCTGAAACTTGAGTCGTTGTTTCTTCAGTAGAAGATTGTCTTTTAGAAAAATTTTTTCCTCCCTATACACATACCCGTTTTTAACTTCTGTGTCTGAATTCTTGTTTAGAGAAGKATAATCCTACTGGCATTTAATTTCACTGTTGACAGCAGTGCAAGCTTTACCCAGCTGAATTTAGTTTATATGTCACAGAGGTGATGATGAATACATTAACACTGTGAAGGGAGGAGAGGAATGTGTTTACTTTTTTCTTTTCTGTGTTAGTCTTTTGCTAACCACTCTGTATCCTAGTCAGCATATTTTAAAGGAGCAGGATGAACATTCCTCAGCTCTTTGTTTCAGGCTAAAATGTTGTAGTTGCCTGTGGAGTTACCCAGAGTGAAGRATAGGAAGCAGTTGGTAGGAATCAGTGGTAGCACCAGCTACTGTGGTGGCTTTCACTGGTTTAATTTTCTTATTSTGTAAAAACAGAACTGGACAAATGGTATAATGAAGAAATGTGATTGCCTAATTGCTTACGGTACCTCAAGTACTTTGTAATTAAGGTGAAGAAGACATAAAAAAAATATGTTTAATTGAAAAATATTGTGCCACTTTTAAAAATTTTATATTTTCCTGGTATAAGCAGATTATTATTTCCTCCCTCATTGGGTAGTTTAACAGGTTATCCTATTAGTGGCAAACTGGTTTTTAAATACTTAAACTATTCTGTTTTATAGTGACTCAATGTTAATCAGCAGATAAGAGCTTTGATGGGTAAAGATGAGTGTGTAGGTACCTATCTATCCAGGTGGGGTGGGAAATCCTTTCTTGGATACATGGGATTACAACGTTCCTTGACAGTACAAGTAACTAAAGTAGGATGATACACATTTTGGGGTAGAAGATTCTGATCTCTGCTTCCTACTTCTCTTCTGTYTCCAGCAGTTACTTTTTGATTTGTGCAGTTTGGAATTATTTGTTTCTTGATGTTCAGGTGGTAAGATGCAGCACTCCATAGAGTTGTTTCTGTAGTTGACACTTGTTCGCCTACAAGCACAAAAAGCTTGAATCCTGCCTTGGAAGATGGGACAGGTATACAGGTGCTGCAACATGTGGAGCTTTGTTACAGTGGGGTCTGCTTTTCAGGTGCAGATTTCCTTGCCAAATAGACTTTTTTTTTCTCACTACTTTTATGAAAGTGTGGCAGGTGGTAAATTTTTAAAACAGCAATTATATTTTTCAAAAAGACAAGAGGCAGGATGGGAGACTTTTGAAGAAAACTTTATTTTTCCCCTCATTTGGATTCCAGAGTAATCTTTCCTCTATTTTCATAGGTAGAAAATGGAGTCTATTACTGTTTTTAAGAACCCTCTTCCACATATTAAAAGAGCTGCTGCTTCTAAAAACCTATATTCACATATATTCTGCCAAGCAGATAAATGTGAAGTGACAGCAGCCAGCATAGCCTTTGCTGTCTGCTGATAAAAGCTAAAAGTCTATTGTGGGTTCATCTTTAGCCCACCACTACTGCTTAAAAACTACTCAGTACTGGTCTGTTCACTTCACTTGTACTGTTGGCTGCATGATTATATCTTTACAAGCATTTTGGTTTATTTTAGCTGTCTGTTTTCATTCAGGAGGTGTATAACCAAGGTATAACCAACCTGGAACTATATTACTATTGAGAATTTTGAATTTAATTCAAGGTTTTTCTTTTTTTTTGGTTTTTTTTTTTTTTTTTTAAGGTATAACCAACCTGGAACTATATTACTATTGAGAATTTTGAATTTAATTCAAGGTTTTTCTTTTTTTTTGGTTTTTTTTTTTTTTTTTGTTTTTTTTTTTTTTACTGTAAATTAACTGAAAATATCAGCCAGAAACTTGGAACTTGCATTTTTGTCCCACTACTCTGCTCCAGCCTGCTGCTTGCCTTTCATCTCTTCCCYGTTGCCCCAGATGTCAGGACCCTTCTGTTCTGGTAGAGGTGGCAATTGCATGAAATAAATGATGGTCTGCAGTGCTATTATCTCTGTATTCTGATGCTGTCATATAATTTGTGAATCTGAAGTTGTATGGTTGTACTTTCAGAGCAACTTTCCTCTGCTTCTCCTTGTCTCTTACCTCAGAGCAGAGGCAGGAACATCCCATACTGATCCTCTCAAGGAGTCACAAGAGAACTGAAGATGTGAGCTGTCAAATTGTATGACAGTACTTGATTTTTGTTTGAAATTAATTTAAAAGGCAGCTCAAATCATGGGACAATCAATCTGTTGCTTTTTTTGTGCCAACAACAACTCCTGGAATATGAAAATAAACTGATAAAAAGCTTTTCTARCAGTGAAAGTATTTCTGACATTTTGCCAGTTTTCAGGGAATTATAGAGCTATCTTATGAATCACATATATGTATTTCTGTCTGTATTGCCCKCTGAGGGCCTGTGGACTTTACCCTTTTCACTGTGAAT